AACAAAAATTAGCTGGGCATGGTGGCAGGTACCTGTAATCCCAGCTACTCAGCAGTCTGAGGCAGGAGAATCTCTTGAATTCAGGAGGTGGAGGTTGCAGCGAGCCAAGATTACACCACTGCACTCCAGCCTGGGTGACAGAGTGAGACTCCATCTCAAATAAATAAATAAAATAAAATAAAATAAAATAAAAATACAAAAGTAGCCGGGTGTGGTGGTAGGTGCCTGTAATCCCAGCTACTCAGGAGGCTGAGGCAGAATTGCTTGAACCTGGGAGGCAGAGGTTGCAGTGAGCCAAGATCATGCCACTGCACTCCAGTCTGGGTGACAGAGCAAGACTGTCTCAAATAAATGAACATAAAAATTTTATATATATATATATATATATAGAGGTATATATATGGTACAGGACATAAATAACAAAAGAAGAATTTAGTTCTGTGGGTCAGGTAATTTAATAAATATTTCAAATAAATATATAATAACTGAAATAAAATGTCAAGAATGGGGAACTAATGGTATTAAGTTTTATACAGAAGGGCATGAGGGAAGTATATTTGTTCAAATTTATGATTCAGATGGCTAAGAAGGTACTTAATTTCCTCAGATGATATCTTGCAAATGTGTGTTCTATTTGGTTGACCTTTGCAAATGACTGAGCAACCACCCTGTGTATTCCCATGTCCCCTAGACTGCCTGTTCAAGCCAAGCTTTAGCACCACGAGTCCATAGTGAAGTCCACTCCAGGTCATCTGCATAGGCAGTCCAGGCACCTTTCCTCTTTTCCTTTAGGTGCCTCCCGTCTGCCCTCAACATCTTATTTCATCTCAAACGCAGCTATTACAACATGTTTTATTTCACTGGAAAATTCTGCAAAGAACCAAATCTGGTTCCCTCGAAGAAAACATTTAGCACAGCTTAAATAAAAGTTGAGAAGGAGGGTAAGAGTGCATTAACCCATGCTAGCTCTGTTGCTACCTTACCTCTGACTCTGAGGCCCTGTGGGATGAAAAGCAGGTATCCAAAAGAACTCTGCTTGGCCCTCTGATACAGCCTTGAGATCAGACCCAATGCCTGCTTTCTGGCCCACAGACCACTGAAATCCTAGGAGCTGCCATGGGAGTAACCAAAAATGTGTGAATAAACTGAATGCAGAGGCTGAGGCAGGTGGATCAACTGAGATCAGGAGTCCAAGACCAGCCTGGCCAACATGGTGAAACCCCGTCTCTACTAAAACTACAAAAATTAGCTGGGCGTGGTGGCGGGCACCTGTAATCCCAGCTACTCAGGAGACTGAGCCAGGAGAATCATTTGAACCCGGGAAGCAGAGGTTGCCAGTGAGCTGAAATCATGCCATTGCACTCCAGCCTGGGCGACAAGAGCAAAACTCAAAAAAAATAAATTAAAAAAACCTAGAATGCAGAAACTGCATGGGTGTTTGGAGCTAGTCACAGGCAGTAACACTTCTACTAGGAAGGAAAATATATAATTTATCCAAAAATAGTTCTAAGATATAGAAAAACATTTCAATCCTCTAGGGCCAAGACCTGCCCCTTATTTACATTCACAAAGCCACTGAGTGAACCCAGAACTGACTAGCAGACAGTGAGGCAGGGCCTGCTCTGTGGCGCATGCCAGTCACCTACTGCGTAAGTGGACAAAGAGAGCAGAAGGTAATGGAGAGAGTTTTCATTTGCTTATTTAGTGAAAAACAGAGGAAAATCACTTGAGGCAAAAGAGGCAGGACTGAGTCCTGGGTTCTGATTCCTCATAAGCCCTAAGACAGATTTTGAAAGATTGGACTAATGTCCTGTGTCCTTAAGAACCAGGGTTGGCAAGTGGCTGATCTGAATGGTTTGTGGCCATGGAACCAATGTGACTTATTCTTTTTCATTTTTTTGCCCTAAAAATCCAGGTGGATAAAGGACTGTGTGGGGAAAGTACCAAATAAATGAGGTAAAAAGGAAGGGTCATACAAAGAGGGCACTACACCAGCTTCTTGGCCTCAAAGAAGCTCTTGAGGTGACGCATCTGCCAGATGCCAGTGAGGATGAGGATGACAGTCTGAGCAATGGACCACCATAGGACCCTCTGGTTGGTGCTCTCGCTTGTCAGTCGGAAGCGCTCTTCACGATACTGTGTGGGGCAACACAGGGTTAAATGAGCAGGAGAAACAGTCCCTGGCTGTTGTGAGGTCCCTCCCTGCATGTAACTACTCAACTCCAGGGCCAAACTCCTTTTGGAATACTACCTGTGACTCCATTAGGAGTGCTATCGTCTCCCTAATGAGGCTGCCCCAAGAAAGGGATGGGCTGTTCCTCCACAAGCATCTCTGTTGGGACTGAAATCATGATCCTATCATTTCCAATGGCTATTACTAGATTGTGAACTATTCTTTCTTCACTTTATTTTATAGAGCTTAGACTACTGAAAGCGAAATGTGGCACATGCATACAATGGAATATTAACCTTAAAATGCTATAACATGGATGAACTGTGAACATTATACTCAGTGAAATAAGCCAATCACAAAAGGAGAAATAATGAATGATTCTGCTTATATGAAGTAGCGTAGTTGGGATGATAGAGACAGAAAGTAGAATGGTGGGTATCAGAAGAAAAGGAAACGGGAAGTTATTGTTTATAATAAGTACAGATTTGCTGGGTGCAGTGGCTCAGGCCTGTAATCCCAACACTTTGGAAGGCTGAGGCAGTGGATCGCCTGAGGTCAGGAGTTCAAGACCAGCCTGGCCAACATGGTGAAACCCAGTCTCTACTAAAAACACAAAAATGAGCCAGGCATGGTGGCACTCGCCTGTAATCCCAGCTACTCGGGAGGCTGAGGCAGGGGAATCACTTGAACCTAGGAGGCGGAGGTTGCAGTGAGCCGAGATCACACCACTGCGCTCCAGCCTGGGCAACAAAGTGAGACTCCATCTCAAAAACAAGACAAAACAAGTACAGATTTTTAGTTTGAGAAGACGAAAAACTTCTGGAGCTGGATGATGGTGTTGGTATCTCAACATTATGAATGCACTTAATACCACTGAATTAAAATGGCACATTTGGTGTTATGTGTATTTTACCACAACAAAAAGTTTTGATAAAAAAGCAAAACAGGCAGGGCACGGTGGCTCACACCTGTAATCCCAGCACTTTGGGAGGCTGAGGCAGGCGGATCACCTGATGTCAGGAGTTTGAGACCAGCCTGACCAACATGGAGAAAGCCCGTCTCTACTAAAAGTACAAAATTAACCAGGCGTGGTGGCGCACGCCTGTAATCCCAGCTACTCAGGAGGCTGAGGCAGGAGAATCGCTTGAACCCAGGGAGGGGGAGGTTGCAGTGAGCCAAGATTGTGCCATTGCACTCCAGCCTGGGCAACAAGAGTGAAACTCCATCTCAAAAACAAACAAAAAATCTATATACACCAATACCTTTCATTCCATTCTCTGCAGAGCTGATCTCGCAAGCAGAAACTTGAGTAGGTATAGTGGGTATAAAGGTCAACTGACCTCTCCAATTACAAGGAGATATGCACTTACCCTTTGGTAATCCTGCTCCTTCTGAATCTGTTCCACTTGATCAAGCAACTGGCGGGCACGGAGCTGTAACTCCGTCAGCTTATCTTTTGCAGCAATCTCAGGGTAGTTGTTGGCATGCTCCCCAACCTGGATGTCGAGATGCACACGCTACAAGGAAACATGGAATGTATGAGTGGTGGGGCCTCCAGTTGTCTGTTCAAGGGTATGGAACCCACTATTGTCCCTGGCTGTGGAGCAGAGGGCAACATCTGTCTCCCCGATTCTGACTATGCTACAAAGTGTCAAAATGATGATAAATCAAAATTTGGAAACAAGTGAGAGATTCTAAGCTGAAGCCAAAGAGAGAATCCTCTTACCAGTTTGCCACCAGCGAAGAGAGCCATCCTGGTAGAGTTGGAGTGCAGACAGATTTGATGGTCACCGGGCGTGTGGGAGGTGAACGTGAAGCGGCCCTCCGAGCCGTACTGCCGGGACAGCACCACCTGCAACATGTGTGAGTGAAGGCCCCACCTTTATACCGCAGCCTGTCCAGGTTCAAGCTCCTGTCCCTTGAGGGCTCGACCAGGCAGTGCTTTACACCCCACGGGAGCTCCACTGAAGAACGGCTGCGTGGACCAGCGCCAGCCTTACTTTGCCGTCGGGGTCCTTCACTTCCACATGCATGCCCAGGCCAGGGGTCGAGGGCAGGAAGACCTCCTTCTGCTTATCCCACATCTGGGTACGATAGTTGCCTGCGGGGCAGACACATAGTCACGACCCGGCCCTAGTGGGCCGCCTCTCCGCCCGGCCCTCTCAGACGTGCGGTCCGGGGCTCTAGGCAGGGGGCCTTGCGTCCTCGGGGCACCCCTCAGGCTAGGTATGGGGCGGGGGCAGCGACCCGGCTGGGCTCGGGAGGAGAGAGAGCCGCCGAGGGCTGAGCGGGGTATCAAGGGCCTCCCCACCCTCAGCCCGCCTGACCGATGACCATGGTCTCGTCGGGGATTTCCTCGATGAAACAGCGCTTCTCGGTCTCGCCGATGTGGAAGTAGAGCCCCCGGGCGCCTGTGGCGCACAGCGCGAGAAGCAGCAGCACTTGCCGCCCCATCGCCCGCAGAAGCCCAGCCCGCACACCTGCCATCGCGCCTCACCCCCTAGGCGCCTGCGCACATCTGCGCACCGCTCTGCGCCTGCGCGCCACCCTAGCGACCCTGAGCGTTAGGGGAAGAGAACGCCTGCGCAGTGATATCCAATCGCCGTCTCCTGCAACCCCTTCCGTACCGAACACTGCCGGGCTCCGCGCCACAGTCCGGGACCCACCCACCGCCGCAATGACGTCAGAGGGCGCATGCGCAATGACGTCCGCTCTCAATTTCTCACCCCCTACGCCACAGCTTACCTCCGGCATCTTGCTGGGGAGACGCGCCTGCGCAGTCACGCCCGCCCTCGGCCCCCAGTTAGCGATTTGGGTTTCAGAATCTGGCCAGGCTTGGTGGCTACGATGGCCTGAAGCGTGCCTTTTGGGTTCTCAGCGCGGGCTCTCGAGTGTTTTCTGTGCTAAAAACAATGAGGAAGCCCTGTGATGTTTTTCTTTGCGTGTTCACCTATCTGACTCGTAAGAACCAAGGCTGAATTCAGACCCACACCCTGTCACGTCGGGAGACCCTGCCGCGCCGAGCCTCTGCGAGCGGGCATTTCTTGGGTAGGGACTAAAAGCCCAGTGCTGCCATAGTTTCGGATCATTCTTTTAAGAAGCTGGGGCCGGGCTTCGTGGCTGACACCTGTAATCCCAGCACTCTGGGAGGCTGAGGCGGGCGGATCCCTTGAATCCACGAGTTCCGGACCAGCCTGGGCAACATGGTGAAACCCCCATTTCTACAAAAAAAAAAAAAAAAAAAAAAATTAACCGGTATGGTAGTGTGCGCCTGCAGTCCCAGCTACTTAGGAGGCTGAGGCAGGAGGATCGCTTGAACCCAGGAGATCGAGTATGCATTAAGCAGTGATCGTGCTCCAGCCTGGGCGACCGAGCGTGATACCCTGTCTTAAAAAAAAAGGTGGAGGGTGAAACGAAAACTTAGGAATAAGTAGGGTCATGGAGCTTGTTTACATCCCCTAGTTACAGCACACCCTTTTGAAAGTGAAAAACAAACTAGAATGTTACTTAGTAGGCATGGAATCAGAGCAAAGGAAGATTAAAACTTTATTTTTATCAAGGCCGGGCGGGCGCGATGGCTTAAGCCTGTAATGCTAGCACTTTGGGCGGCCAAGGCTGGTGGATCACCTTAGGTTAGGAATTCGAGACCAGCTGGGCCAACAAGGTGAAACCCCCGTCTCTACTAAAAATATATTTTATCAACAGAATTTCCAAACATATAAAAGTAGAATAGTTACAATGAACTTTCATAAGAGACTTGGGCATACCTGGATTTTGGTATCCGTGGGAGTCCAGGAATTATCCCCCTCGGATCATAAGGGAGGACTGTACTCATCATCCAACTTCAACAACAGTCAGTTTGCTGCCTTTCTCATTTCATCTATCCCTTTCTGCATTTTTTTTGAAGTGCTGTATATTAAAGCAAATCCTGTACATCGTGTCATTTCACCTATAAATACGTCAATGTGTGTCTCTAACAGATAAGGACTTTATACTATTATCACACCCACCAAAATTTTAAAAATTATTTAACATCACTTAATACCTAGTATGTGTTTAATTTCCCCCATTGCCTTAAAAAAACTTTGTACATTAGATTAATTAGGGTCCAAACAAGGTTTACTTACTGCATTTCATAGAAATATATGTCTTTTAATATATAACAATTCCAGCTGGGCACAGTGGCTCATGCCTGTAATCCCAGCACTTTGGGAGGCTGAGGGGGAAGGATCACTTGAGGTCAGGAGTTCAAGACCAGCCTGGCCAACATGGTGAAACCCTGTCTCTACTAAAAATACAAAAATTAGCCAGGTGTGGTGGTGCACATTTGTAATCCCAGCTACTTGGGAGGCTGAGGCAGGAGAATCGCTAGAATCAGGGAGGCAGAAGTTGCAGTGAGCTGAGATGGTGGTGCCACTATACTCCAGCCTGGGCAACAGAGTGAGATTCTATCTCAAAAACAAAAACAGGGCTGGGCGCAGTGGCTCACACCTGTAATCTCAGCACTTTGGCAGACCAAGTTGGGCAGATCACGAGGTCAGGAGTTCAAGACCAGCCTGGCCAATATGGTGAAACCCTGTGTCTACTAAAAATACAAAAATTAGCCGGGTGTGGTGGTGCTCACCTGTAGTCCCAGCTACTTGGGAGGATGAGGCAGAAGAATCACTTGAACCCAGGAGGCGGAGGTTGCAGTGAGCCGAGATCATGGAGTGGCACTCCAGCCTGGGTGAGAGCGAGACTCCGTGTCCAAAAATATATATATATTCGGCCGGGCGCGGTGGCTCACGCCTGTAATCCCAGCACTTTGGGAGGCCGAGGCGGGCGGATCACAAGGTCAGGAGATCGAGACCACGGTGAAACCCTGTCTCTACTAAAAATACAAAAAATTAGCCGGGCGCGGTTGTGGGCGCCTGTAGTCCCAGCTACTCGGGAGGCTGAGGCAGGAGAATGGCGTGAACCCGGGAGGCGGAGCTTGCAGTGAGCCGAGATCGCGCCACTGCACTCCAGCCTGGGCGACAGAGCGAGACTCCGTCTCAAAAAAAAAATATATATATATATATATATTCATATATATATTTATATATATTCATATATATTTATATATATTCATATATATTTATATATATTCATATATATTTATATATATTCATATATATTTATATATATTCATATATATATATAAAAAAGTTTCTTATTGAAGAAACTGGATCATTTGACCAACAGAATTTTCCACTTTCTGGGTTTTGCTGATTGTATCTTCAGGTGTCATTTAATGTTTTTTGTCCCTGGTATGTCCTGTAATCACTGTTAATTCTAGAGTCAGGGGAGGTTTACAGTGAAACTAATGAAGCTTAATATTCAGGCTCTCCCTTGCATAGACCCCTGTACCTGATTTCACATAATTTTGTGTCTTTTTCTTAAAGAGGACTGTGAAATTTGTGTAGTGTAAGGCCCCAAAAAGCTTGGATTTACCCCTGGCTAGAAGCTTCGTTAGGTTTAGGTGTAATGTTGAGGTTTGGGTTTTTTTGGGTTTTGTTTTGTTTGCAATAACACTTCATGGCTGGCACTGTGTACTTCTACTGAGGCACAAGGCGTGGTTTTCTCTTAGTAATATTGTAATTCATCTCTCAACTTGGGGGTTGTCATCCTGATTATCCATGAAGTTTACTATCAGCCTTTCTTCTAATAGTCTAGCAAACATTGATGATCATTAGACCACTGGTTCTCAACGAGGGTTAATTTTGCCCTGTCCTACTAAGGGAAAATTTGGCAATGTCTGGAGATATTTTGCATTGTTGCAACTGGGTTGCTAAACATTGTATAATTCAACAGAGCACACCTCCCCCACCCCATAGCAAAGAATTATCCAGCTCAAAATGTCCGTAGTACCCAGGTTGAGAAACTCTAGTGTAGATTTATGTTCCTTAGGGGTGCAAAGTGGTGATTTCAAATTCTCTCATTCCTCCTGCATTTATAAGATAAGATTCTTCTACAAAGGTGAGCATTCCCTCATCTCTCTGGTTACTTTGAAATACAATCCATTCAGGATAGCCAGGATGTATGCTTGATTCTTTCCGGGACGCAGTGTCTCTGCCTATAATCCCAGCACTTTGGGAGGCCAAGACAGGAGGACTGCTTGAGCCCAGGAAATGGCAAGATCCCCATCTTTACAAAATATTTAAAAATTAGACGGGCATGGTGGTGCATGCCTGTAATTCCAGCTACTTAGGAGGCTGAGGCAGGGAAATGGCTGGAGCCCAGGAAGTTGAGGATACAGTGAGCCGTGATGGGGCCACAGCACTCTAGCATGGGTGACCTTGCTCAAATAATAATAATGATGGATGGATGCCCCAGCAACCTCTAACTGGGACCAATTTAGGTTCTTTGGGGAGAAGGTGCAGTGCTATCATGAAATGATGGATGTTTCGATATTTGATGTGCATTAATCCATGACAGTCATTTTTAAATGTTCGGATTGTCTCATCAAATACTTAGTTGCTCCTGTGTCTTTATGGCACAATCCTAGTAGTCTACAATCCTAGTAGTCTTTACGTCAAGTTTGTCCAACCCGTGGCCCATGCAGCCCAAAACAGATTCATAAACTTTCTAAAACTTACGAGATTTTTTGTGTGTGACTTTTTTTTTTTTTTTTTTTTTTTTTTTAGCTTATCGGCTATCATTAGTGTATTTTATGTGTGGCCCAAGACAATTCTTCCAGTGTGGCCCAGGAAAGCCAAAAGATTGGACACCCTAGACTTCCTTGCTTTCTGTTTTATACATTTACTGTCCTAGAAACAATATCAACTATTTTTCCAAGGAACTCTAATTCACATTAGTGAGAAATGGTATTTATATTGGCAAACTGATTTTTTTTTTTTTAAGGAGATTGCTGAAATTTGTCTTAACTGAGAGATAATATTAAAGAGATTGTATTCTCCACTGTAGAAAATTTAACTTAGGCAGTCAGGCACAGTGGCTCATGCCAGTAATCCCAGCATTTGGGAGGCCGAGGCAAGAAGATCGCTTGAGTCCAGAAGTTCAAGATCAGTCTGGGCTACACGGTGACACCCTGTCTCTACCAAAAAAAAAAAAAAAATTAGCCGGGCGTGGTGGCATGGGTCTGTAGTCCCAACTACTCAGGAGGATGAGGTGGGAGGATTGCTTGACCCCCAGGAGGTTGAGGCTGCAGTGAGCTGTGATGGTGCTACCGCACTCCAGCCTGGGCAACAGAGTGAGACCCCATCTCCAAAAAAGAAAGAAAATTTAACTTAGGGAGTCTAATTCCCCAGATGAGAGATTTTTCTGCTCAGAAGCCATGAGGCAGTGTTTTGTCTAGACCAGCCACCCCTTCCTTCATTTGTTCAGCCAGTATGTGCTGTGCAACCATTTGTGCCAGCCACTGTTCTAATGGGAAAACATAGGTGACCAAAACAAAAATCCTTGTCTAGGCCAGGCTCGGTGGCTCATGCCTGTAATCCCAGCACTTTGGGTGGATCATGTGAACTCAGAAGTTTGAGACCAGCCTGGACAACATGGTGAAACCCCATCTCTACCAAAAATACAGAAAATTAGCCAGGTGTAGTGGCAATCACCTGTAGTTCCATCTTCTCTGGAGGCTGAGGTGGGAGGATCACTTGACTTCTCTGGAGGTTGAGGTGGGAGGATCACTTGAGCCTGGGAGGCAGTGGTTGCAGTGAACAAGATTGTGCCACTGCACTCTAGGCCTGGGTGACAGAGTGAGGCCCTGTCTCAAAACAACAACAAAAATCCTTGTCTTCATGGCTTTATCTTGATTGTCATCTGCCAAACAAGATAAATAAAGAAATATAGAGCATGTCAGATGGAGATAAGTATCAAGAAGAAAAATAAGGTAGGGAAGAAGAAAGTATAGTGGACTTAGGCC